TATATTTTTCTCAATAGCAAATTAAGTATATATATATGCTAATAATAAATTAATCAAAGTAGCTTTTGCTATTCTATTTTCAAAATTTTAAATTTTTTAACTTGTAAAAATGAATACAAGTCAAGATGATTTTAAACAAGATGTATGATTCCATTTATTTAAATTTTACAGTATAAACTGCCAGTTAATATAAATTGTAATGTAAAACTATAGTTAACTATACAGTAAGCCATAAAAAGTACTGTATTTATTAGACAAATGTTTGTGCATATACATAATTATAAAAAAATTTTAAATAAATTAAATATGCAAATAAAGTTTAACTTCGTTAAAATGTTAAAAAAGAAAACTATTATTACTTTGGCCGTGATCAAAGACTTTGAAGCCTCTAATCCAAAACCGTACAAGCTAATCTATGCTTTTATTGAAGGAGAAAAATCAAAAGATGGTGAAGAAAGATATAAAACGAAAACTGCAGCAGAAAAACATATACAGTTATTTCACAAAGAGATTGAGAAATATAATCAAAGGGTTAAGAGAGTGGCAATTAAAAAAGACCAAGTTGATAAAGCACTTTTAACATTGAATATGTCATTTATTGTGAAGTATGAAATATTATTAAATTTGAAAGATAACGAAACTAAAGAATATTTAATTATTGAAATATTCAAAGAATTTGAAGTATTGATTCGTGAAAATAGATTAAAAATTTCAAATACTGAAAAACCAGATAATTTGATTTTGGTGCTTGCAGTACAATACAAAAAATCTAAATAGATCATCAATGAAATGTCTAATAAATTATCAGTATAGTATAAATGCTATATTAGTAATATGTTTGTGTAGATTTTATATTTTTATTAGTATGAAGGGTAAAATAAAGTATAGCATTATTCATTTGCGGTATTACTTGAATTTCATCTTTATTTAATAATTGAAATATAATTTTTAGTAATATTTATCGTAAAAGAATTATTGCAAATTAATAAAATATGATTTAGACCATTTCATATGCTTAAGTATTTCATTCTTCTGACTTTGTGATTTTTTAAGACTTGTTTCTAAATAAGTAATCTTTTTTGTTGAGTTCTGCACTTCAAGAATTATTATTCAAAAGAATTTGTATGACTAGCTTTCTTTTAATCTCTGCTTTTACTTGCAATTCGGTATTCATAACAATTCTGATTACTACAAATTATAGTCTACTATATTTGATACAAAACATCAATAAATATGATAAAAGTATGATGAATTTATCATTATATAAAGACAGAATTCTGATAATTAATAAAGCTTACAATCTCTTTAAACATGCTAATTAGACTCCTGTTAAATTAATCTGTTATATAAATTAAGCACACAAGCTTTTCAAATCAATATAGAGTTATGCTATATTCATATGATCTTACAGACCCATAGGTTCGCTAAATCATATGAACATTAAGGCACAACATTTAAGAACTAGAAAAATCTTTTAAAGAATTATTATTTACTTTTAAAGATGCAACAAAAAAAATATAATTCTTATCTATTAGTGGAGGACATACATTTGCATGGTGTTTTGGTCTGTTAATCATAAAAAGGTTTAGTTTATATTGTAGATTGTATTAATGAGTTTGGGTTTATTAATAATGAATACTACTTTTACTCTACTTTATATGTATCAATCTATCTTCTATTTATTTTAAATAAATTAATTCTTCTGCATATTTATTAATTTATAAATTTTTTTATATAAAGTTTTTTTTGTTTTCTAGTATATAGTATTAAAGTGATTAATTTTTAATTTGATTAGTTAATTATCACAGGTGATCATGGGTAGACCCATAAAAATTATCCAATCAGATGAGCTTTTACCATTTAATACGATTAACTAATCACAAAAAGTTCTGACTCAATTATTTTAATTCACGAATTACATCATTTTGCAAAACTATTTAAATTACTAATTTTTTAAATGACCTTAAAATAAACAAGTAACTAATTGAAGAGAAACAAAGTGATTTATTATTTACTTATACTCACTAGAATATACATGTCAAGTGCTAGTCAAGTATTTACTCTTCTAAATTACTATGTAATGAATTTCAAATCAAATATTTTTCATTATTCATTATTTTTAACTCCGCATTAGATATTTGTAGATTTGGACCACATTAATAAACAATTTTTATTCATTAATAGACAATTTTTATTTACTAACAGCTAACAAAAAAAATAAAATTTCTCACTATAACAAAAAAATTGTAAAACCATTACAACTATTTATGAACAATTTGACTTTACTACCATTGTTCTACATCATCATTTTTATTTGTTTCACTCTCATCTTCGTAATCGTCGTCTTCATCAAAATTCTTTTCAATGAATAATATCAATTTCTTATTTTTTTCAAGTTCATAGCTTTCAGTAACAAGCTTCATAATTTTATTTTCTTTAGTTCAATATATTCTTTTTGAGACTTATTTTTTTCTCTTAAAGCATCTAAATTAATATACTCTAATTCTAACTAAAAATTAAACAAACAGTTAAAAATCTTATTTAATTGTTTATTAAATTAATTTTCTTTAATATTCAATATCTACATTGTTACTCATGATCTAATTATTATCAACACTCTCCTAATATTTGGCCACCAAGCTACTCAGTTGTACTGTCAAGCTACATGATAACAATTTCAATCTTAATTCCCTATTTTCATTTTCTAAATCAATAATTTTTTCCCTAAGATTTGCCACTGATCAGCATTTATCATTATGTTCGAAACAAACTTTTTCCCATTCCTTGTTAAGTCTTTTGCTTTTTTCTTGTTCTTCAAATAGTTTGTTTTCTAACTCATCATAATGATAGTTTTTTTATAGTAAAACTACAAATATAAAATATAAATATAAATTTAATCAAATATTATGTTGTATAATAAGTAATAAAATTTACATTTTGTTCTAATTTCTCAATCTTAATGTTTTTTGATTTGATTTCAATTTTCATTCGGTTTACTTGATTATTCAAATCCTCATTATCTAGTTCTATTTGTTCGAAATTAACTGTTAATTTACTTATTTCATTTTTTAACTCAATAATTTTATCTTGATTGGTACTAAGCTGATCCTTAAGAGATATAATTTCATCTTCTAATCTAATGAATTAAAAAATATTAATATTAAATATTGAAATAAAATCTTGTAATATAAAAAAAATTTACCTTTTAATTGTTTATCATATTCATTTTTTTTAGCTTCAAATGCTTGTTTTAAATCAGGTTCCTTTATCACCATATCAAACTCATTTAAATTCTTAAGATATTCTATCCATTGTTTGTAGTCTCCGATTATATTGTCTATAAAGTCATGAATCTCCTTTGATGCATTTCTTCTTTTTTGTCATCATATAAAACTAATATGAGTGTAAATATCATTGATCAAACCGGGTATACTGTCTTTTTTTCTTTTAATAGCTTTTTTTGGTTTTTCTTAATGATTTTACTATTTCTGAAAACATTTTTTTCACCGCTCTGATTTCATTTAATGAGTTTAAATGTTATCATCACCACAGTTATAATTAGAAATTATAGTAATATCTGAATTTACTTTCTCACTAAGAAAGTATCAGATATTAAGACAAATTCATCCTTCATCGTAATCAACATTCTGCCACTGGTCTGAGAATATTTAGTTACTTGGTTACAAATTTGTCTGAAATTGTCTGAATTTAAATAATAAAGTATAAAGTATAAGTTAATATCATGTATAAAAAAAATATATAAAAAAATCAAGTAATAAAGTAATGATAACTTCTCTTATATATTTTAAGAACAATAATATTAAATCAAATTCATCAGAAAATAGAGTATTAAAAAGTAAAGCTTTTGACATTCTCATAGAATTCATGCTAGCTATAAAATAATTAATTTATATAAACTTATAACAGTTTTTGATTCAATTAAAACTAGTTTCGTTATAGTATATTTTTTATTGTTGAATAGAATTGAAGTAAAATTAGAGTATTTTTTATATAATAAATATATTATCATTCGAATAATGTATGCACTGTATATTATTACAATTACTATATATTTATTAGTACATACTTTAAATCTTAAATTATTAAAAAACAGGTTTAAAAATATATATAAGATCTACAAATATAAAGTACTGTACATATCAGAGACGTGGAAAAATTTGGATATCAAATCGTAAATCTTTATTTGTGTATCAAGTAATATTTGGGTAAAATTTGGATAAAAAAATTAAAAATTTGGAAAAATTTGTATATTAAATTTTATTATTTCGTTGATTGAAATACAGCATATTTAGCATTTTCAATGAATCTTCACTTAAATTTTGCCTATCTTCTTCTAAAAGATTATTATAAACTGAAAAACTTCTTTCTACAGCGCAAGAAGAGATAGACAACCAAATATAAATTGAAGCTATATTACTTAAATTCAGAAGTGAAGAAGACATTTTAACCCAAAATTCTTTCAAATTATTAAATTCAATTAAGGTCAAATCTAGATTACAATAAAGCCCCCATTCATGTAATAATTCATCAGAAAGATCATTAAATTCAGAAATTTGTATCATATAATTTTGAATATTACGATTAATAGTAGCTAATTTAATAAAACAGGAATTAAAAATTTGTACTGCAATAAAAAGAGATCGAAAAGGATAGTGTAAAAAAATGATTATTAAATTTTTTACGTGCAGCAGCAAAAGCTGTTTGAAAAACAGGATTAAAAACATGTGGTTCAGATCCAAGATTTGTAATACACAAATTTACCTTATTTCTAAAGTCTGTACTGGATTCACCATCTTTTAAAAAAATTTGAGTTGCTGTATTCTATTTTCGACAAATGGAATAACCAGGTCATTTTCAGATTGAAAAAAATTGAGATCTGCAATAAATCTTTTAGCATATTGCTAAATAAATGTCAAATAAATTTGAATTCGACCATATTCTTCAGGATTATTAAAAATATTCATAATTTTGTCAATCATCTCGGTTTATTCACTTTTTTGTTCTTCTTCATAAAACTCTTGAATATATTTTAAGTAATCACACAAATAAAACACCATTTGAAACCAGGTATTCCAACAGGTTGCAACTGGTAATAGCATAAACTTTAATGATGGATTCGATTGTTGATTTAATCTGTAACATTTTAAATAATGCATATATCGAGTTTTACGAGCTCTAGCATGTGTAAAAGTCTTCTTGATATTCATGATTAACATTTTAATACTATTAAAATAAAAAATTAATGTCTATGATTTGCTAAAAGTAAATACAGTAAATAAATATATTAAAATTAATATTATATATACGTATAAAATATATATTTTTATTTATATACATAAAAATAATACTATAATTCATTTACTCAATTAAATTTATTATGTGAGCTAAACAGGTATTATGTTTTAACTATAACATTATAGGACTTAAAGCTTCACGAAAACATTTTTTCATGTAAGTAGCAGAATTTGAAACAATTACTTTAGGAAGAGTAAAAAAAATGTTCTATTTAGCCAAAAGTCATAAAATAAGACTACCCATAGTTGAGTAATTTACTGTTTGCATAAAATCAACAGACACAAGTTTTGTTACTCCATGGTAAGAAAACAACGTATTGACTATATAGGCTAACTTTCTCGTAATTGGCCAATTTTTTTTAATTGAATTTATACAGTTTAAAGTACTTTTACCTCTAATATAGTAAATTTTTTTTTTTTAAATGTAACTGCCGTTTATAATACTACAGAAGACTCTTCACGAACGAAGCTTTAAGTATCTTGTGTATCTCTGGGATTCATCCTACCTGAGTACACTTCACTTAGAGACGGTT